GCTGCCCAGGGAGGTGGTGGAGTCTCCTTCTCTGGAGACATTCCAAACCCACCTGGACACGTTCCTGTGGGACCTGCTCTGGCAGAGGTTTGGAGGAGATGATCTCCAGAGGTCCCTTCCAGCCCCGTACCATTCTGTGATTTGCACAACTCTTATTTCTTGCTTGTTCTCTAAATGAAGCATTTTCCAAACGTCCATTCGTTACCTCCCCCTGTTCCCAGGCTAATGCCATTGGCAGGGGAGCCAAATCCGTGCGGGAATTCCTGGAGAAGAACTACACTGACGAGGCCATCGAGACGGATGATCTCACCATTAAACTCGTCATCAAGGCTCTCCTGGAGGTGGGTCTGGCTCCCAGCCCTCCTGGGGCTTCTCACTGCTTCTGCATTCGCGCTGCAACAGGAAAAGCTCCCCTCCTGTCACAGGGACACACAGGGAGAGGGTGGAAGGGGCTGCCCAGGGAGGGGGTTGAGTCCCCATCCCTGAGTGTGTTGAAGAGTCGTTAGATGCGGTGTTGGGGGATACGGTGTAGGGGTTGGTGGTTGGACTCGATCATCCCAAGGGTCTTTTCCAACCTGAGTGATTGTGTGATCTGTGGGAGGGGGTTGGTGAGGGCTGGGGTTGACTTTGAGGTTCAGAGTAATTCAGGAACAGTTTCTGTAGCTCACACAGAAGAAATTCTGTCTGGGAAGGAAAACAGACTTCAGTTCTGGGCATGAAAACAAACGCACCAAAGATGTGCTGAGCCACATGCAGAATATTTCACTGTTGCACTGAACTTAGGGCTCAGAAGGTGCCCCAGGTGAGGGGTGGGGGAGGTGCTCCTCAGGGAGAGCCTTGTCTTTGGGGGTCCCGTGAGCTTAGAGCTGATGAGTAAAATACTCCCTGGATCTTCTAAGACGACCTGGAAGGGGTTTGTTAGAATTCAATTAGTGGAGATGCTGCTAATGACCGTGTCTGCCTCCTGTTAAGGTTGTGCAGTCCGGGGGGAAGAACATCGAGCTGGCGGTGATGAGGCGGGAGCAGCCACTGAAGGTAAGGGCTGGGCTCCCTGTCCCTGTCCCTGCTGCCCCCGCGGGTCCCTCCCGCTGCTGCTGTTCCCTCTGGGATATTCCTTGTTACTGAAGGAACGTTCTTGTGGCTGCAGGAGGTACCTGGATAAACTCCAGTTCAACTCCCTGCCCGTGTCACAACTAGTTGTGTCGGTATCCGGAGGGTCACCCCTGTCTCTGTTTCAGATCCTAAACCCTGAAGAGATCGAGAAGTACGTGGCTGAAATTGAAAAAGAAAAGGAAGAAAATGAAAAGAAAAAACAGAAGAAAACATCATGATGGATCTCGCTCCTCGGCTCAGCTGCTGCTTTTTAATTGGAGTGCGGGGTTGCTCTGTGCAGGGGGAGGCACCCCCCGCCCCAGCCTGTGCCCCTCCAGACCTACAATAAAAACCTACTGAGTTGTTTTTTTTTTAAAGCCGTTATTTTAAAGGTATCTCTCTGTTCCTTGGATTATAATTCCCGGGGTGATTTGGTTGGCTGCAGCCCAGCAGTGGTGACCCATTAAAGGACAAAGACTTTATTTGCATTTTTTTCCTGGGACACTTTGGTTTATTTAATGATTCTCTCCCACCTTCTCTCACTTGTTAGTTTCTCCCTTTGGGGCTTGGTTTTTTTTTATTAAGTAGCTTCTGGGGGGTTGTGTGGTGGCCTCACCAGAACATGACAAATAGGGAATTCTGCTTTTCCTTCCCTGCCTGCCCTCTGCACCTTTAACCCCCCGGGGCACAATAAAGCGCTGCTGGTGAGATTTCCCCCTGGGGGACCTACAAATGCTAAAACTGAGGACAGGGATGGCCCAGAGAGCACAGCCCAACCCTAACGCTCTGCTCCCCCGCCTGCAGCTGGGTTTAACTGGGTGCTGTTAACTTGGTTAACTTAACCTCAGCCCCTTCTGAGAGCAGCACTGAGTGGGGCAGGATGTGCTGTGCCTCCCATTGCTGTGGCCATGGCTGTGTGGGATGTAATAAACTTAGAAATAGATAAACGTGGAGGCAGCAGGAGCCAACCCCTGCCCCGAGCTGCTTCAGAACCAGCCCCCAGGGGCTGGGAACAATGTTTGGGATGGGTACTTGGGACAGTGCTCTGGGGACAGCAGGACACGCTCTGGGGCCAGGGCTGGTCCTGGGGGGTCACAGGCAGGAGCTGCTCCCAGACACTGCCCCCTCTTGCTGCCCAAGGTGGGCACTACCCCCCCCAGCACCCACTTCCACATTAAAAAGTGTATTTTTTTTCCTTCATTTCTCTTCAACACAACCCCTCAGCAATAAAAGGCTCTGTCCACCCCATCTGTGCCCCCAGGGAAGGGGACAGGTGGTGGCTTCAGGGGTTGTGCTGCCTTTCCCCCCCAAGAGAAGCCTCCCTTTCCCTCTTCCCATCCACCCAGCCCTTGAAAGCAGCTCCCACCTCTGCTACCACCACCCGCTCTTACAGGTATTATAACACCAGACCCAGCTGGCAGCAGCACGGCCAGGGCTGGAAGTGTTCCCATCCCCTCCCTGGGACACCCCCACACTGCAGAGGGGGGCAGAGTGTGGGGGCAGAGCGTGGCTCAGGCACCAAGGCCGGGAAGGCTGCGGCACCGCGCTGTCCTGCTGCGGGAGGGCTGAGCTGGAGCAGCCACGGGGAGGGAGGTGCTGGAAGTGGCTGTTGTTCCGTTTATCAGTCCTTGGGCTGCAGCTCTGGAGCTACAGGAGCTGTTTGTCTCCTTCCCAGGGCCGGGCTGCGCCGGGCAGGCACAGGGAGGGCAGCTCAGGGTGACAGCAACAGCAGGAGCAAACAGGTGATGGGGGGTCAGTGCCTGGATTTGGGTTTTTAAGCCCATTTCAAACACGGTGTAACTCTCTCTCCCCAGCCAGGGCAGAACTCTGCAGCACGGTTTCCTGTGAGCCCTGTGAGGAACAGGCAGCCAACACGTTGTAGGAGCCAATGGAACCAAGCTACACACAGAACCAAGCAGGAGGGCAACATGAAACATGTACATGTTTATTATAATTACAATTTACATTACTCCAAAGAGCAGCCCCACTGCTATCGTCTAATTCTTAGCAATAAAGTCCTACAAAAATAAATCCAAGCTTTTACAGTAACCTAGGTCAACGCGGAACTAAAAAAATTCTAGCTATGTAAGGGGTTCAGTCATCAAGGTGCTTTTTTTCGACAAAATTCCCTACCAACCAAAAAAGGGACACATGCCTAGAGCGATAACCCACCGCGTCATGCAAAGGAACGTCACCCCCCTCCCAGCCCCTCTCCCCACATACAGCTTTTTTTTTTAAAAACAAAAGAAAAAAACAAAACAACTAAACTATTTACAGTATGGGGGGTACAGAGGAAACAAATTAAACATGCCCATCTGTTAAATCTTCGTCACGCGGCCTCCCAGCGCCAGGTTAATGACGACATCCCATAGTGTTCACCACAGCACGAGTGCAGGGGGACCTGGTTGTGCCCGGGACGACCCCGTGCGAGGGGCAGGCGGAGGGGAGAGGTGGGGGATTGGGATCCCCCTCCCAGACAGTCACCTGCTGCCAAAACACGCTTCATTCTGAGCACACAAAGGGGGACGCTGCTCCTGTGCCCCCCCAGAAATGCTGCCCAGAGCCAGGAAGGGGCTCCCGGCCCCCCAAGAGCACCCAGCCCCCCCCACTCCAGGGAGGGTCCCTGGGTTGTGTCACCCCGCGGTGCCCCCGCGGTTACACACACCGTACAGGCATTTACACGACATGATCCACGATCCAGTATTCCCAAGTGACAATATCCACAACTCCTCAGCACCAGGAATCCAGCCTCCCGGGCCCCCGGCACAGCGACACCGGCAGCGCCACAGCAGCCCTTTGCTTTCCCCAACAAACAAATTAGAGCTGGTTTGTTTCAAGTGAGCTTTGGTTCCGTGTTAAAATACCATGATTTCTCTTCTTCAGGGTTCAGAAAAAGGAGTCTGACTTTAAGCTTAGACTGTAGCAGCCTTTGAGACACCCAGAAAGAAGAACCATGTAAGTTAAGTCTGCACTTAAAAAGAAAACAAAAAACAACACGCACAAACAAAAAAGACACCCTGAAGAAGGTACCCCTGAACACATTCCCTCTTCCAAAGAATATTCCAGCTGACAGTTGCTGGTCCAAAATAAGTCCAGAATATAAGCAGTAGTACATGAAGTTCTGTCGCTTGAGCTGAGACAGTAAACAAGATGAACCATTTTCCCACATTAGTGCAGCAGTTGGTTGTTTTCTTTCTATGTACAGAGTCACCCTCTGGGGAGAGATGTCAGAACCTGGTCAGGGAAAAAAAAGGCAGCATTAGGTTTGGTGAGAAACTGAGAAAAAGAAAAGCAGCAAAGTTCAGCTGATGGATGGGTGTGAAACGCCCGGCCAGAGCCCGAGCTCAGACCCACAGCTCTTGCTCTCACCGACAGAAGGGGAGCCCAAAAAAAAAAAAAAAAAAAAAAAATCAGAACAACCAACACATTAAAGAACACCATAAAACCACTCCTATTTCCTCCTGCCACTTCAACAGGCAGCTCAGACACAGTAAGGAACAGCTCTTAGATTAGACTGGAGATGAGGAGAGGGTTCTTCACTGTGAGGGTGGTGGAGCACTGGAACAGGTTGCCCAGGGAGGTGGTTGAGGCCCCTTCCCTGGAGATATTCAAGGTGAGGCTCGACGAGGCCCTGGGCAACCTGGTCTAGTTGGGGGTGTCCCTGCTGACTGCGGGGGGGTCGGACTAGATGGCCTTTGGAGGTCCCTTCCAGCCTGGACAACTCTATGATTCTATGATTCTTGTCCATCCATGGAGAGCAGGAGAGGTTGCCCAGACACTTTGGGCACGCAGTAAGAGACCCCCCTGGCCGGGGCGGGTGGTTACCCCGGGTGGAAGACTTGCCTGTGTGGTTAGACGCGGCCGGTGCCCGCTCGGTGGGTGGGCTGGCTGCGCCGCGCGCCGCTGCCCCTTCCGCCTCGGAACCCCCCGCGGAAGCTGCGCCCGCGCAGGAACCGCCCCGACACTCCAAACGTCTCCGTGTTGAGCTTCCTCTCCTCGGCCCACGTGGTGCGTCTGGAACTGAACAGGGCCACGGTCAGGTTTCACAGCAACATTACAAACCCACCACCCCTGTAGCTCGAGGCTCCCTGCACACTCTGTTGGGGAGCTGAACTGCGAGGGGAGGGACGGCGCGGCAGCCCCGCTCCTCTGCCAGGCTGGGGTCTGGAAGCAGCGGCTGTGGGGAGCTACAGCCACGCTGGAAAAATGAGGATGGGGCTGGAGAAGGGCTGAATGTGGTCTCACTGGTATTTCAAACCCTGTCTCGTTTGCCCATAAGCTGCAAACTACCAACTGGAGTGAAGCCTCTCCAGGAACCCAGGAAGGCTCGTTGTGACTGGGGCTCAGCAGATCCCAGCACCGGGGTGTGAGCTCTGCCACAGGGAAGCAGGAATTCCCATTCCCAAGGGAATTTCCCACACTGCCACTAAAGGAGTGTCTGATTCCCCAGCAGCTGATAACACCAGTGTCAGCAGCTCGAGACGAGGCTTCCCTTCCATATCCCCAACGTTTCCCTGGATGCATTCCCGGGGACAGAGCCATCTCTCTGCCCAAACAGCAGCCGCTCCCGCCCGCGTCCCCCGCACAGCCTGACCCTGCTGCCTCCCACAGCACAGATAAAGTTGTTTAAAATCAATGGGTTCAAAGCCAGTACTGGGAAACAGAACTGGGAACTCCTGTATCGCCGTTTAGACCAGTGGGATCACCCCCAGCTGAACTCCTCACTGAAGCCTGGTTACTGTCCCCCCGGAGCCACCAAGCTCACAGCAACACCCCCTTCTACAACACACCCTTTTGCTGACCTTCTTGCATTTTAAAATCCTTAAATTATTAAACCATGCAACATAAATTAAGTCTAGAATTCTTCAGGCATAGAATTGCATTAAAAAAGCGCAACCTTTTAGGACATACTCACCTAGATTTCAGTTCTGAAGAAATATTGTCAAAGAAAGACTTGGATTTATCATAATAGCAGTTGGGTCCCAGAAGGTCCTCCTCTGCGTTACCGTCGTTGTTCTGAGGCGCCACTCCAGGGTCCCCTTTTTCTTCCCCTGCCTCTGGTTTATCATCTGAAGATAATAAAACGTATTACACCTCCCTGATGCATACCAGAGAGCCATCTGTTCTCCTGCTCCCTCAAACAACACTGGAGATGCTGCCACATGTAATCACGCAGGGTCTCAGCACAGCTTTGTCTACACAGCATTCACTATTAGCTCAGCAATTCAGATTTAACCAAAGTCACAAACCTTTAAAGTTTAGTTTCTTCTTGAATTCTTTATCAAGCTCCTCTCTGTTGAATTGTGCATTTGCACTTTCAAAGTCAAAGTCACCTTCGAACTTTATTGTATTTTCCTTCACAGTAGTTGGTCTGTTTTGTCCTCTAGAACGGTTCCTGGTTCTCCTGTTCCCTGGAAGAGGAGAGTTCACACACTGGGTAACGCACGGGGGGGACACGGCTCACTTCTGTCAGCTTTCTGGTTTCCAACTGAGGTGCTATCAGCTCCTTCTTGGAAAAAGCTATAACCCCTTTTACACTGCTGCCCTCAGGGAAATGAATGTGAAGACCTGAGAGCCTGAAGTTTTGTTTCCTGCCTTTTCTCGTTTTGCTTGGGCAGAAATATCTGTTTGAATTTAATTTCATTTTCTTTTGACCTGTGTTTAAACTGCAGTCTTGAGCTAAGACCTATTCTCTATAGAAGCAAGGGCTCCACAGCACCTCTCAGTTGCAAGAGCTCTGGAAATTCTCAAATAGGCTGCCCTTCCCAGTAAAGATACTTCGGGTTTCAGAGAAATCTGGTTGCTGCTGCCAACTCCTAGCATCAATTTGTATAACATACCTTCAAGTTTCTAGAAAAGACACTTGAATTCTGTCCCTGGAACATTCTGAACTTCTGTGACTTCGGAACTTATTTTATTAGGGAAGCATCTCTGGATGCCCACAGCCTCATCAAGCTTTATTTTGCTCTCAATCTTCTGTCCAATAATCCTTCACTGAAATTAGCAATATTTGCCTTTATGGGTTATATATTGCCAAATATGGTTCAGTGTGAGGTTCACCTACCTGATCTTCTCCTTGGCAATATTTGCCTTTACGGGCAAAGGCGACTGTTCGGTGTGAGGTTCACCTACCTGATCTTCTCCTTTGGGGTCTTCTGTTTTCATCATTCACCTGTCCTTGGGTTTGCACCGGTGGTGCCTGAACTGTATCTACTGAAGAAGAAGGATAAACTTAATAAAGCAGCACAAGAACAAACCCAAACCAGATCAGTCTCGCTACGTGTCTCTGAGGGACACATCCGAGCACACTCTGAAGAGGAGGTGACACACACTCACCATTTGTCTTGCTGCTGCCCGGCGGGACCTGCCGCCCGTTGCGCTGCACCCCTGGAGGTACTTTCACAGGGGGTGGCTTTTGTGAGTTCATGTTGTCAACGGGGCCGGTCTGAACAGCCTGCTCCACCATGGGGCTCTTGCGGACCGGGTGAACGGAAGGAAAGCCAGCACCTGGAAGAAATCCCAGTGACTAAGTGCCTCTCCCAAGATGTGCCAGCTCTACTCAAACCCTACCCGCTTCTACGGAGAAACCGTTTGGGCAGGAATTACTCAAAGCCTCCAGGGTTTATGGTTACACACCATGTGGAAGTGGCACATACACCAGGTAAGGCACTGCTGCCACACCAGTCCCGGCTCTCACATCCAGAGCCTTACAGCCAGGAAATTTACCCATTTGTTTTTTTAAACCAAGTTAGACATACATGAGAATCAGGAAATTTTACCCATTTATTTTTTTAAACCAAGTTAGACATACATGAGATAAACAAGCCAGGTCAGTCTCTTAGACTGTTTATACCAAGATCCAATTTCTATGTGTATCCTTGGTTATGCAGGATTTTACTTTACACAATACTTTAAATCTGAAGAAAAAAATGCGCCATTTTGAAACTGCTCAAGAGAGCTTCCCCACTTTGTCAGAAAATTTTTGCAGCAAAAGCTTAACCACCTCAACTATATCCCATTTTGTAAGCCACTTTTAGGAGTCCTTCAATTTCATTGCTTATTGTTAGCTTTCAGACAAAGAAAACCTGAAACCAGACCAGGATCTCAAAGTTACCCTTTTAAATTCCTTCTTGGTCAAGGCCAAAGTGTTACCAAGACTTCTGTTGCTCTTCCATCCAGGCTTATTTATTCACACTACAAAACACGTAAATACTTTTCATGGTTTGGTATACCTTACACCAATTATAGCAAAAAGTGACAGTCTTCAGTACTCAGAAGAAACACTGCATTCTAGATTTAATTAGAAGTTTTGGAGTACTACAGGTTTACGTAGTTATGCGTAAGAACTGCTTGGAAGCGAACTTTAACTGAAGAAACTTTAAGAGCAAGAAAAGTGAAAAGCTGAAGAGTACACACAAACCAAGGCACTGACACTTCTGGGTCACCCAAGTCCACATGAGATATACCCAGTAGGTAACATCATGCAGGTTCCCAGTTAATGTACACCTGGAAAACTCGCAAGGAAGACAGACACATCCTAAGGATTATTCAGGAGGACAAAGCTGCTGTGCAAGTTTAACACGAGAACGTTTCAAAGCTTAGCCAGAATGTTGAGAATGTACAGATAGATGGCCAAAACCAGAGAGTAAGAAAGAACAGTTTCATGCCAACACAAGCACACATGCTTAAGTTAAAAACAGATGAAACTAATTACCATGTTTAAGTGCAGGCTGCACCTGGTCTCTCTGCTCTGAGGATGGTCAGTCTAGTATCTCTACTCAACCTCTAAAAGTTTGCACACACAGAACAAGCACCCAGAACTGTGTTCTCTCAGCTCACCACAACTCGGACACTGCGTACTGTTAGTCATGCTTTACTCTCGACAAGACACTCTGCCCCACCATGCAGGAAATCTGTCCTGATATTCCCTCGATTACAGCAATACTCCTAAATTTTCTATTAACCTATGTTTCTAACAGGAAGGCCACCCACAATTTAAGCAGTGTGCTCATCTTTCCAGGAAAGACTAATTAATTCCTCGCCCAGTCTCTCAGGTGACATGCATTCCTGGACAGGATGCAGCACATCAGCATCCCTAGACCTCAGCCCTCTCCTGATACTTACACAAGAGGATCCGCTGTCCTGTACTTTTCCTTTCTCCTGTCTCTCTAATTGATACTTCTAGGACAGGAGCAATACTTCATGTAATGAAAGGCACGACCAGCTGAGAACAAACTAGTTCTACGAGCATTACCCATACAAGTACTATCCTTCTAGGAGGGGTTAACAAGAACAGAGTGTTTGCAAGTGCCATGCAGTTCTTCCAAATATTTGGAGTCCTCAAACTGCTGTTACCCTTGGAAGAGAGCTGATGGGGCTCTGAAGACATGTCAGGCTCTGAAACAGGTTGTGGAGACGGAGAAGAACTAGGGCTGGAAGCAGCTGCTGATGCTGGAGGGCTTACCAATTTCTCTAAAGAGATAGAGGGAAGAAGAGAAAGCAAAGATATATGGATAAGATACAAGGTAGTGAAACATCTGAAGGACTTGCAGAGGGATACAAGAATCTCTAGAACAGCATTAGAGCAGTGTGTTTACAGTCCTCTCTGGGAATACAAGTTCTTTTTACATGTGATGTATATGTAAGGTATGTTAGGTTAGAAATGAACTGACCTCAACTGTTAGGCATTCAGATTACTGGCAGAAAGAAACTTTAGCTATTTACTTTGTTTCTTTCTTTTGTGTGCGTGTGTGTAAGTGAAAGGCAGGGCCCCTTGCAACAAGATCATTGCACAAAGTTGTTAACTACCGACTCACTGCTTGTGGCAGCCTGAGGCTGGGCAAGGAATTCGGTGTTAGTTACTGTTATTTGGTTTCAGAGTGGTTGCACACAAGAACTGCACCTTGATTCTAGCAAGTCAAGTTTTTACTTACCTAAGCCTAAGGAGGCTGCGTACTGCTGGCTGAGCAAAGAGCTGGCAGCGAGCTGGCTGTAGGGTGGCATACCTCGGAACGGGCTGTAAGGCACGTGTGGCTGGAAGGATGATGTGGAGGCAGAGCCCAGTGAAGACTGAAACAAGACAAAGTACATTTCCATTTACAGTGTCCAGAAGTCAGCGTGCTTTGGCAGCGATTCTCTACCTCACACATAGGGTTACTAAAGCTTAAGTAAATACTGAGAAGGGTTAGTTTACCTCTTTACAGTTTTCCTGCATTCTCAGATAGGTAAACTAGCTCTGGCTTTTGTTGAGTAAAGTCTTTAATGCTGATGCTATTTTAAACATTACAGTGAGATTTAGGATGTTTCAGTCTGAAGATTCCTTGAGACACTTACTGGCCTTCATTTTTATAAGCTTATACCAAAATCAAGCCCTCCATCACCAATGTTCTATCACAGCTTTCCACCAACCCTTCAGGCTAACTTACTTGAACAATGGCAGGATCTTGTGGCAGAGTATGTTGAGCTTTTGGAGGTTCACAGACAGTGATGTCCTTGATGTCACTTCCTCGAAAAATGATGTATTCATAGATTTCTTCTCTCGGAGGAGCAGGTCTGTCTGTGGGCCGGTCTTCGGTACCAAAGGATCGCACTTTAGCATTAGAAAGGTTACTATTAGCCCAGGGTTACCATCGCAGCATTGTGTCAGTTACTTATGCTATTTAAAAAAGTACTCTTGTAATACTTGCCAAAAGTAACAAAAGGTTACCTCCAGAACCCTGAAATCTCCTTATTGCACACATCTGTTCCCTCAAATGCCAACTTTTTCCTCAGCCTGCATAAACAGTTTTGTTTATATCAAGCTGTGAAGGTAAAGACCACAGACCAGCTGGAGTGAAGAATCCTACTCCAAGCTGGGGACTTCCCCACAGTGCTACACTGCCATATCCCCCTCCCTCCCCAGGCCCTGTCCTCTGCAGTCACCCCGCTTGAGACAATTGCCACCACAGCAGAGCACATCAGAGGCCCCTGAAGCAGCAGGGGAAAAACCTTAGAAGGCTTCAGAGCTCAAATTTGCACCTTTGGTTCCATATATTTATTATACACATAGAGGTAAAGTTTTTTACCTACTCAGTGATAAGAATGTCCAATTAAAATTCTCTCTCTAATCCACGCCACCGGTTTATGATTAAAATCCACTGATTGCAAAACAAGCTTTAAGTGATAAATCCCAAACCTCATACCTACTGGGACTTAACCGAGTCCCAGCTATCGGAACACTTGAGCTGGTACTAACCAGCTCAAAAAGGCTGCAATTGACTGTGTGGCAGCTACCAGGTAGAGGCATAAATTAATTTGAGCCATTAAGCAGGAAAAGGTCAGACTCAGACCTACTGGGTTGCTAGTGGAGGAAAACGGGTGGAAGTTACATCAGACACCGACACCTGAAAGCCTGAAATGGGCTAGAGAATGGGCATGGTCCACAGAGATTTTTTCAGCCACAAGTTACAGAAGCTCAAGTGTACTAGTCTAGTTGTTTTCTGTCTTCGTGGAGCTTTGCCAGTTCAGATAAGCACCAGCAAATACTGGTTTGATGTTATGCTTTCTGGCCACAGAATAATTCTATATTGTAGTTGCACCAACTGCTTCTAACAGGTTACTGTAGAAGTACTCAGCCTCTCTGCCAGGACACAGCACCATTCCTGCAGTACCTTTACAAATTACACCCTTAACAGACCTTTCACAAGTACCTGCCATGTCACTGCCTGTGGTGACATGCCAGCCAGCTGCCACTCCCACACCACAGCTGGAAAGATATGGGCACAGCCAGCCCTGCCACACGGATGATAGGGAACAGGGGGCACCACAGCTTCCCCAGAAAGAGGGCAGCAAAAAGGGGGATCCACTCAACTCCAGTGCTGAGCATCCCTGGTGCACTATACTAATTACTAGCTCTACTGACTTATTAGGAGCGTTAATGGGCTACTCATAAAGAGTCCTGATCTTGCAGATGAAAAGCTGTGTCCAGTTAGTGCTGCAAGCTGTCCTCACCCCTGCTCAGCACGTCTGTCAGCTCCCAGGGGCAGTGAGCTCTGGGGACAGCAGGTCAGTGCCAAACCCTGTCCCCATCACCCCGATGCCAGCGAGCGCCTCAGCTTACACCTGCCTGGAAGGGAACCTCCACTGGTGCAGGGACAAGCTGTCACTTGCTTCCTCTGAACGAGTGTCTTGCATCAGTTCTCGGGTATACAGCCTCTCCAAGTTATTTCAGATCTCCAGCTGCTGTTTGATCATATTACAGCTGTAACCTAGTCAACTAGAAACACATTATAAACTGAAGGCAATGCTTGTGGCCTTTCAGACACGAACCATACCACCAACACCCCTGCTCAGGATTAGATTACTGCAGCACGCAGCTCACAGCAAGGTATGCTGGAGCCATCCAGGGACCACTGCAGAATCCCATGGCTAGTTTGGAAGGCATCACATCATCTCTGGGCACCAGCATCAGAGAGTCAGCTTCCACACGGAGAAACACATGAACTGCAGAGCCCAAAGCTGCCCAGGCAGCTTCTCAGTTGGTTGTTCCCAAGGTTTCTAACTGAAAAGCTGGAAAACTATGTCCTTGCTGTAAACAAAACAGCAGGGAGGGCATCCGAAAGGGCTCTGTGAGTTGAGCACGCCTGCCCTCTGCACCTGAGGTGTTTAACGGTTTCTGGCACATCTCAAAGTACAGCTTTATGTTCCTGCAGAGGTCCGAAGGGCTGGCTCCCACGAAGAGTCACAGTGACTATTGTTTACAGATGAGGAGGAAATCAATCCCACACAGCGCTGCAGCCAGGGCTGCACAATGGGGTTTGTACTCGGGTGCAGGGCTCTGTGAGCTAGACCTCTGAAGGGTGAGGAAGCATAACAAGAGTGCCTGGATGTCTGGAAAGCAGGGCTTACGTGGATATTCCTTGCTCAAAAACTCCTAGAGTGGCCTCTAGGGCTAGCAGATTATCTGGACAACTTCTACTGCTTGTCAGTAATTCATGGTTCTAATCCTTCAGAGATCAAGGCTGTTAAACCGCTGTGCCCCCTAAGCACAGGGCTGATAGTGCTGTCACCAACTTCACCATTGTTGCTGTGTTCCCAATTCTGACACTAGTTTTGATATAAGGTCTCTAAATTTAAAAAAAAAACCCTCTGAGCTAAAATGAAACACAGGGTTTGTACTGTGACGTTTATAGAGCAGCACTTTAAGTGGGGAAAAATGCATTCTCTGTCTACTGTAACAACTACTTCTTAAGCATTCCAGTTCATCAAAACTGAACAGAAGAGACCAATAAATACAAGAACTGCCAGAAGTCTTACACAGAGCATGTACTTTCTCACACCATAAAGCACTTTAATCACATGTGCCTCTGAAACACACCACTTGAGCTCTGAAGGAGCAAGTGCTATGTGGAAGCCAGAACTGTGCGAGAAGCCATTTCTAGCTGCTCCTGGGTAAGAGGAAAGACTTTCCTGCACATACAGTAAAGGAATTGCATCTTTTCTACAACTTCTCTGTTACTTTGAGGGAAAAACTAACATAAATAGCTGCATTTGTACACCTTAATAAACACCTACACCCTAGGAAAATAAAATGAATTTGTGAAAACTCAAAACTGAAATTTTCAATTTCAAACTACACACTAATAGTGTCAAATACTTATGTCCAGCACCACATAAACATTATACTGAATAAATATTGTGGCACAGGATGCCTCGAGGATGATTGAGAATCAGGCAAGTCGGTGTCTCATACCAGCAGATAAGTCTTTCAAAACAAAAGATGTTTGGTTTGCGGACAATGCTGATGGGTTGCTGAAGGCAACAAAGAAGGTGTAAACTTCCCAGAACAGTGAAGGACAGAACTCGGGGAAAGAAAAAGCTGATGCACATTAGCTGGAGTAGCCAAGGTGGACACTAAAAGCAGTACCAAAATGAGATCCTGTTTGAGAGTCTAAACAAGACAGGACAGGTTTCTCTGAGAGTAAATACGGGAGTTCCCAGCACAGCTGACAACTAAATCCAAATGACACCATTTAAGCAGAAGATAAAGATCACTATTTCTACAGGGAAACAAGATGCAAAGCCCCGATGAGCAGCCTGCAAGGTGGGGAGCTCCAGCCCCGCGGGTGGGTACCCCACAGCCCCGCAGCCCCTCACCTGCGCGGGGTCCAGTTATCGACCACCAAAGGAACAAAGACACATCCACAGCAACTCGGCTTTCCCCGGCGCTGGCCTGCGGCCCTGCTCAAGCCAAGCACCGAGCCCCCGCCGTGCATCCACGGCCAGCCAGGAGCGGGGAACCGAACCACCGGCGGGGATGCTGCCCGTCGCCTTCCCGGCTCTGACAGCTGACGAGCAGGCGGCATTCCTCCCCGGGGCACTGCTAACGGCCCGTCAAAGCCAAGGGCTCCTCAGCATCCCGGGCCCCGCACGCCCCGCCGGGGAGGCCCAGCGAGCCCCGGCCACGGCCCCGGCTCGTCCCCGCCTCACGGAGCGGCCTCCCAAGTGCTGACTCACGGAAAGGCAGCAGCGCCCGAGGCACGGGGCTCCGGTCCCGCCGCCCCCCGAACCGCAGGGCCCCCGCAGCGGTCCCTCGGGGCGTGCGAGCTCCGGCCGCCTCTCGCCCAGGCCGAGCTCATTGTTCAGGAGAGGCAGGCGGCGGGGGGGGGGGCCCCGCGTCCCCTCAACGAGCGGCGGCCCGCGGCGCCAGAGCCAGCCTAGGCCCGACACCCCCCCTCCACGTCGCGCCGCCTCACCCTTGGCCAGCGCCACGGTGGAGTTCTCGGTGTCGATGGTGTAGAGGATGCCCTCATAGCGGATCTGCGCCTTGGAGATCAGGCTGATCTTGCTGCCGATGTAGGGGGTCCCCGAACTCATGGCGGCGGCGGCGGCGCTGAGCCGGGCTGCGGGAGGCGGAGGAGGCCGCGCGGGTGGCCGCACCACCGCGCGGAGCAGCGCGCCCGCCCACGCACACTGCGGAGCCGGGAGCCCCGCCGCGCCCGCCTTATATAGGGCGGAGGGAGACGGGCTGAGGGGGGGG